GATTCTATTGTCCAGCGAACTGTCATTCCGGAAGGCCTCGATTAAGTGTGACTTGGGCACGGTCAGCGAGACAAGATCCAAGGTGGCAGCATCGTAGGCCAGGGCTCCCCACTTTCGCAAGGGCACCAGCTGCGTGAGATCGGGACTCCGATTGTGGGCGGCACACACGATGTGACAGTTTGGTTCATGCTGCAGTCCCACGTCCAGTAGATGGACAAAAAAGGCAGACGACACCAGCAGATGGTGCTGGCCATGTAGTGCAAATGTGGGCCTCAGCAGACGGGCCTTTTGCCACGGCACACCGGGCATCACGCAGTGCACCACACAGCCGTGGTGCAGCAAAGTCACCGAGTACGCAAAGTGCACGTCCTTCTGCTCCGACTGCATCGGCTGGTACAGGTAGTAGTGGCACACGAAGAACATCCCCGAGGTGTCCGCCAGGATGATGAGATTCAGCGAACTGTCGTGCACTCGCAGTGGAACTGCATCGTCATCGTAGCTGGGAGTTTCCTCATTAGTACCACTTGGCAGCTTGGGCAAGTTGAGGGGTATATTAAGCTGGAAGGATAGAGGATAAGAACAATATTAGTTGATTTTAACATCAATAAACAAGAACTAGTTATTAAATAAAATGTTTTTAAAAATGTCAAATAGGTCCACTTATTGACAATTTCATAATGGTTTCCAGAATAGATAGTCTATATTACAATTTTTAGCACCCACCACTGTTTCCGTGGGCTGTTTCTCGTTAAACTGAAAGGCCGAGAGTGTGGGACTCAAAATGGGAGCCGCCTGCTCGCCGGCCTCCTCCCTTTCGTCTAGCAGACTGAGGCTCTTGGCCTTCGGCTTCAGGTGGATGTAGTAGAGAGCCTGGCACTCGGGATCCCACTGGGCCCAGCTGAAGTTCTTGGCCAGCGTTTCGTGGGTGAGGATGCTGGTGTCCAGCCGCCAGGCACTGCCTTCACCGCCGCCAATCGACGAAGTCGTCGAGCTCTGCTTTACCACGCAGCTATACTGCTTGATGGCTGGGAAAACAAATCGAATATTATAGTATTTAGTGATAGGTTGAGCTATCGGGGAGACCTACATTCCCCGTGGGTGAGCACCAGGAGCTTGTCCTGCCAGCAGGTGCGCGTGGCACTCTCCACTCGCCACAGGAACTGGGTCATCATTTGGCGGGGAGTGGGCTCTAGATTTATGGGCGTGGCCGTGCCGCCCTCGGAGCTCCGTACCTCCACAACAAAGGCCTGATATAGTTTGCCCTCGGTTTTCTCCACAAAGGACAACAAAGTCACACTACTATTGATCGTTGCCTGGACTATCTCACAGCATTTGTCCAAGGTCCAGAGGAGTCGCAACTGCTTCTTGGTCGCATGGAAGTGTCCAATGCACGTCTCCTTGCGCTGCTGCTCCTCATCCGAGTACTCAAATATCCAGGATGTCAGCAGTGATCCATCCTGCTCCTGCCCCAAAATTCGCCACTCGTTTGCCTTTTCTGTGAATTGGTGATTTTGATAACATGAAATCTATGGTGAAACCTTGCCAAACTGATCTTACCTTTATACCCCTGGGTGGCCAGCAGGCCGCAGAAGTTCGCCGCCAAATTCTCCTGCCGCAGCATTTTGGTTTTTATTTAATATTCTTAAAATAACATTTAGCAAAAGTTGTTTAGTGGTCCAATTGGATTTTTGCCGCCAGTGTGAACGTTTTGCGGTGTCAAAAAAATACCAACTGTTAAAGAACCGTTACGCTTAGCTACAGGGTGTGTCTGGCAGTTTACTTGCTGCTTTAAAAAAAAACTTAAAATTTTTCCGTTAACTACTATTTATTATTAATTAAATGTAAGAAAACTAGAAATAGAAAAAACCTCACCTTATTTTTAATAAACATAATAATAATAATAATAATAAGGAACACACTCATGCAGTTTGGACAAATGGAATAAAACAAAACAAAAAGTTTTCAGATCTATAAATAAAATATACATTCTAGATTTGTTGGATCATTTTTAAGATTTATAAATAAATTTCATAAAAATTAGAATCATTAATCTAACCTCTTCTTCTTCTGGATCTTTAGGACATGGTTATCCAATATCGATATTCAATATTTTCCATCGTCATCATCCAATTATTCAGCAAGAACAGTTAAACTTCTTTAATATTTTCCATCGCCATCATCCAATTATTCAGCAAGAACAGTTAAACTTCCGTGAAAGCAAAAGCCAAAGAAAAGAAAGAAACTAGCAAAAAACTAAAGAAAAATGCCAAGTGAAATAATAACCCTTCAATTGGGTCAATGTGGAAACCAAAGTAAGTTCATAAAATAAGGAAAATCTTCCGCTTTGGCTAAGCTCACATTCCCACAGTTGGCTTTGAGTTCTGGAAGAGATTGTGCCTGGAGCACGGGATCTCCCCAGATGGCGTCCTGGAAGACTTCGCCACCGATGGGCAGGATCGAAAGGATGTGTTCTTCTATCAGGCGGATGACAATCACTACATTCCGAGGGCCGTGCTCTTGGACTTGGAGCCGCGAGTCATCAACAACATCATGACCTCTCCGTATGCCAAGGTCAGTCAGTAGTATTTTAAATAAACGTAGTACATATATTTTTGACTATTAAATAGTTCCCATTTCAAAATGTGTGCATACTTTTGGTCTGGAAAAGGATTAAGGCTCTATTTTGTCTGAATAAAAATAGGTGTTATTAATTAATTAGTTAGTTACTATAACATTAATATTTTATTCTCATATTCTATCCTCACAATATTTAAAGCTATTACAAATGAAGACTTATACTTAATGCCTTCATTTATTATTAATTTGCATATTCCTTAAGTTTCCTAAACGGAAAATTACCCTACTATTAAATCAAAATATTAATATTATTTTAATAGAATTTTAGGTATCGATAGTAAAAATATATTTAAGAGTAATGTCTTACTATCAAGATATTATATAATAATTTGAAAATTTAAGTGACCTTCAGTAGATGAATAAGATTTTGTTCTACCACATTTCATTTAATACTTACTGATTTGTTATTCCTTTTTGTAAGCTCTACAACCAGGAGAATGTGTATCTCTCGAAGCACGGCGGAGGAGCAGGCAACAACTGGGCATCCGGTTTTAGCCAGGGCGAGAAGGTTCAGGAGGAGGTGTTCGACATCCTGGACCGCGAGGCGGATGGCAGCGATTCGCTGGAGGGGTTCGTCCTGTGCCACTCGATTGCCGGCGGCACTGGGTCAGGAATGGGATCATATGTGCTGGAGCGATTGTCGGACCGCTTCCCCAAGAAGCTCATCCAGACGTACAGCGTTTTCCCCAACCAGGACGAGATCAGCGACGTGGTCGTTCAGCCATACAACTCGATTCTCACGCTGAAGCGACTGACCAAGTGCGCGGATAGTGTGGTGGTCCTGGATAATACCGCCCTCAATCGCATCGCCACCGAGAGGCTGCACATCCAGACGCCAACTTTCACCCAGATCAACAATCTGGTGTCCACCATCATGAGCTTGAGCACCACCACTCTGCGATATCCCTCGTATATGAACAACAATCTGATCGGACTGACGGCATCGCTAATTCCCACACCTCAGCTGCACTTTCTGATGACTGGATATACCCCACTGATCACAGATTATGAGGTGAGACTACTTCACTTTATAATATTTTACTGCATCTGTATAGATACTCTTATTTATACAATGATCCTAGGCAGAAGTTACTTTATTTGCAAGCATACTTATTTATTACAGAACTTAACAGATTACATTTTTAAATTTTTTTGATAAGAGTTTTTGATATCATTTTAGCAATTTATGCCTTATGAATAGTTTGTAGGATCAATATTTTTTCTTTGGTATTTCAAATTCCTTGGTAAATAAAATTGGTTTGAAAACTAAACTACCCTTTTTCGAAAGTCCCTTTTTGCGAAAGCCTTTAAGTGAGTTTGGTTTTCTTTTTGTCCAAACACACTTATTAAAATTAGAGTGCAAAAAATGTTAAACGTACAATTCTTTCCAGACCAAAACGAATGTGCGAAAGACCACTGTGCTGGATGTGATGCGCCGTTTACTCCAGCCCAAGAACATGATGGTGTCCGCCACGGCCGACAAGCAGAATCGTCACTGTTTCATCTCCATTCTGAACATTATCCAGGGTGAGGTGGATCCTTCGCAGGTGCACAAGTCGCTGCAGCGCATCCGGGAGCGGAAGCTGGCCAATTTCATACCTTGGGGTCCGGCCAGCATCCAGGTGGCCCTGCCGCGGAGTTCGCCCTATGTCCAGTCGGCCCACAAGGTATCCGGACTGATGCTGGCCAACCACACGGGGATCAGTGCGCTGTTCAAGAGGGCCCTGGCCCAGTACGATAAGTTGAAGAAGCGAAACGCCTTTCTGGACAATTTCCGCCGGGAGTCCATGTTCAAGGACGACCTGACCGAACTGGACTTGGCCCGGGAAACGGTCGACTGCCTGGTGCAGGAATACGAGGCGGCCACCCAGATCGACTATCCGCAGTGGAGTCCTGGCATCGAAGCCTCCAAGGCCGGTTGATTTCCTGGCAGTCTACGATCAATTATTCTTAATCAAAAATAAAATATTTATTTATCTTATCAACATTTAAAAACACTACTTGTACAATAAAAAGGAATTTTAAAGGAGAGTTGTTAATGAAGTTTGGAATGGATTCTATTGAAACTCTAAGCATATGTAATTAATTAGGTTTTCAATAATCTTAGATAAGATCTTTTTCCTATTCCTAACAAAATTACTTTAAAATGCGAATACTTAAAAGTTGTACGAAAAAAATTTATGTTTAATGGCAAAATTGTATAAATGTAACCCTGTTTTAAATAAAAAAAAAAAATTTTGTAAACAATTTCTTGAAAACACCTTTTGTATCGTGTGTTCTCGTATTTCTGCTTTAAAATTAATTTATTAATTTAGAAATGTAGGCCTTGCCATTAGTTGTCATTTTTCATATAGTTAAACCCAAAGCTAAATAATTTCGTCATTCGTTTTTCAAAATTCGTTTTGTAAACATCTTTAAAAATAGTTTTTGTCCAACATATTTCAGTACATATTTTGTTGGTTGTACGATCCTGTTTCTGTAATTTAGCCGAATGTAAGTTAAAACGAATTTGTAAATAACAAAATTAATATATTTTTTTAGCTACTTAAGTGGCTTTTTTAGAAGGGAACAAGGATACGTTAAAGACTTTGGCAAAAACTAAATTAAAAAAAAACAGTAAGTGTTGGAAGTCTATATTTTATGGTTCCTAACAACAATTGATCAAATTGCCAGATCATGTGCTGCGGACCCTGTGGACCTCGATGCTGTGATCCTTGTGGAGGATGCTATAACTGCTGCGTTGAACTTTGTTGTTCTCCCTGCACTCCAGCTTACATTCAATGCACTTTTATGCCCTGCGGTCCCAGTGGATGCTGCTAGGATATGGTTTTCCTTATCCATCAACTGTTCTAGCTTTCTACAACAAACCCAACTGAATCACACGAATCTTTATACCAACATGATTAAATAAACGAATTGATTGACTTTATTTCAGATGTTGGTTTTGCGTAAGTTAATTTTTAAAAATGGAAAAATGGCTTTGCAGAAAAGTGACCTAAAACATGCACTTCTAGGCTTTGTGGAAATGTGTCCAAGAACTTCACTTCTAAGCCCATAACTTTTTTTGCAGACATCCGATTTCAAAGTGGCATACTTCTAAATGATTGTGGGTAAATTCTCTATAAAACTGCATTTACAGTTTGGCTTGTAATTTTTGGGTCGGTTTTTCGTCATTTTTATAATGCTAACCCTTTTGTGGAAATGTGTCCAAAAACTGTACTTCTAAGCCCATAACTTTTCTTGCAGACATCCGATTTCAAAGTGGCATACTTCTAAATGATTGTAGGTTAATTCTCTATAAAACTGCATTTTCAGTTTTTTTTGTAATTTTAGGTCGCTTTTTCGTCATTTTTATAATGCTTTCCAAATTTTTGAAAAATGGCTTTTCCAAAAATTGTCCAAAAACTGCACTTCTAAGCCCATAACTTTTCTTGCATACATCCGATTTCAAAGTGGCATACTTCTAAATGTTTGTGGTTTAATTCTCTAAAAAACTGCATTTTCAGTTTGATTTGTAATTTTGGATCAATTTTTCGTCATTTTTACAAATTTTCGAAAAATGGCTTCGTGGAAATGTGTCCAAAAACTGCACTTCTAAGCCCATAACTTTTCTTGCAGACATCCGATTTCAAAGTGGCATACTTCTAAATCATTGTGGGTTAATTCTATAAAAAACTGCATTTACAGTTTGGTTTGTAATTTTGGGTCGGTTTTTCGTCATTTTTATAATGCTAACCCCTTTCCAAATTTTCGAAAAAATGGCTTTGTGGAAATGTGTCCAAAAACTGCACTTCTAAGCCCATAACTTTTCTTGCAGACATCCGATTTCAAAGTGGCATACTTCTAAATGCTTGTGGATTGATTCAATAAAAATCTACGTTTAAATCTTGGTGTGAAAATTTTGCCCAATCTTTGCAGAAAGGTGTATAAAAACTCAACTTTTAAGTGGCATTCTTCTTAAATTTATCAATGATATGATGTCCTCCCGATCGCAGTGCCACAGCAACGTACTTTTCAGTAACCATATCCATTTTTTTCCATCTAGTAGACTCTGAATTTTTATTTCAGTCAAATGTTCAGAAACTACCAAATGTCGACTAAGGATATAGTCATTCCGTCTCTGTGAGCCGATGTAAACACATCAAAAATAAAACAAAAAAATTCCAATGACAAACACCTTTTGGAAGTAAATTGTTTTTGTTGTGGTAAGGATGACAAAAATTATTTTGCAAAGTAGTATTACTTTTAACCAAAATTTCTAGGACACGAGTCGTTTTTTCCTATACTACACCTTCCCTTAAGTCCTTACACCAACTGAAATCAACGGCTCCAAGATGTGCTGCAATCCCGGAGGCTGCTGCAACCTGCCCACCTGCATCCAGTGCACCAACTTCTGTTTCAACTGCTGGACTGGAACTGCCGCAGTGCCATGTTGCCGTCGTAGTTGCATTCCGTGTTGCCGTGGAAGTCCTTGTTGCTGTTGATTGACACCAAAATTTCTGTGACCATAAAACAAATAAATTCCAAAATAATCTCCTAACTCAAAAATAAATAGTTATTTTTCTAAACGTGGGATAAAGAGTATTGTATTAAATCCTAGATAATATTTTTTTAAAATGTTTCTATTCCTTTAATCCAAAATAAAATTATGATAGATCTGCCTTCTTCGTTCACATAAGGGTTAAGCGATAATAGTAATTTTAAAAAACCGTTTGGTATTTGCCGCTGCCATAGTTTGAAAAATGATACCTGGTCACACCGCACCAAACAAATACTCTAATCTGTAGAATAAAAGTAAACAATTGATATTTATAGACGATAAGACGGCCAAAAAGACGACTGCATTCGGGTGCCAAGATGACGGACTGCCACTGGCTGAACTGGTGTCGCCTGTGCGCCAAGGACGACGCCCGTGGCAATGTGAAGGTGCAAATGAGCGGCAATGACCAAGCCTGGGACAACGTCCTGATAATGGCCATTCGCAAGTACTTCGAGGTGCAAGTAAGTCGGCCAACAATAAGGCATATATATAGTGATAAACCCTGCGATACTTATTCTACAGATGCGACTGGAGGATGATCTGAGCAGCGTGCTGTGCACAGAGTGCTACACTCTTATCAGTGAACTAATCGATTTTGCGGAGCATGTGACCAAGGTTCAGGCAATTTTTGAGGTCCTGCGCCGCACTGAAACGGAGCCCGGCAAGCACTTGGATGTGGCTGCACTGCGTCAGCAGTATGGGCTCTGCGAAGACGACTGGACGCACATCATCAAGCCCATGCAGGCACCGGAAATTGATTCGGTGATGGACGCCAACGAAATGGATCAAAAGCAAAATAGGGTATTACAAGAATCTCCCATCGGAGTGGAAGCCAGCATAGAAATTGAAATGTCAATGCGGGAAACCGAACCACACCTAGTCCCATCCAAAAACAGTCTGGAAATTGGGATACCTAAGCAGGAATTTATTGACATAGGTCCTCTTTTATTAGAAAAACCCAAGAATGGACTGGATTTGGAGGATGTACTAGTCGAACTGAATGAAGACGAGCTATGCCATTCCCGAGTGGACAGCACAGTCTCTCCAGTTTCTCAGGAGCAGGATATCAAGCCCGAAATGTTGGGAATCTGTGACGATGATGCCGAATTCCTGCCCGAAAAAAGTCAGCAAATGAATCTAGTCATTATAGCGACCACACAAAATGCTCCAGAGTTAATTGCAGAGGAAAAGGCCAAACGTGGACGCATGAACTGCGAAAAGTGTGGAAAGGTTTACAGGAACCGCGCCTCCTACGAGAAGCACTTAGAACGCGAGTGTCGCCGAGTCGAGCGGCGAGTGAAGGTGGACAAGGCAACAACCACCTGTGACCTGTGCAACAAAACTCTATCCTCCGCGACGGCCCTGAAGCTTCACAAAGAGGGTATCCATCAGAATGTCAAGCCATATATTTGCGATAGTTGCGGCAAGCAACTGAAGACAATTACGGCCCTAAATGAGCACAAGCTGGTGCACACAGACAATCGCCCCTTCGAGTGTACCGTTTGTAAGGCGAGCTTCAAGAACAGGGCTCGCCTGAAGGCCCACCATCAAATCCATGCGGAGCCCAGTTTCGTCTGCAACATCTGCGGCAAGAAGCTGCAGACGCGGCGGACCTGGAACATGCACAAGGTGGTCCACAGCGAGGAGCGACGACTGAAGTGCGATGTCTGCGGGGCGCTCTTTAAGCGCTCGAAAACTCTCAAGACGCACCTGCTCAGCCACACGGGCTTGCGACCGTATGTCTGCAACTACTGCGGAAAGTCCTTCGCTTGCAATGCCAATTGCCGGTCGCACAAGCTGAAGAAGCATCCGCAGGAAGTGCAACAGGAGGATGGCACAAAGCTCTCTTCTCGCGTAAATGTCCCCACTCTGGAAGAGCTGCGTGTTATGTAAGTATTGCTTTTAAAGACCTTGTGTATCTGATTAACTTGAATAATTTTATATTTTCAGGACTCAAAAGTTACCGAAAGGAACTGATTAAAATTAACCATTTTACCAATAAATTGTTTTGATATTATTTAATTGCATCACTATATGGAATGCCGTGTGCCGAACGCTGTGTTTCGGTAGATTGGTAGGATAAACATTTAGGATCAGTAGATGTCAATGCTTCTTATACAGTTTCTACAGATCCTTTCCTTCATTGTAAAATATTTCCTTATATCTTGCCATCTTATAAAAATAAGGTATTGTCAACCTTTGCATAAATGATATTTACTATTTAATGGACCAACGGAAAACTTACCTGTCAATATGAAAGTATTTTGTAAATTATGTGCTGACAGCTTCATCTGTAATTTATCCTTATCATATATTAAAACGCATTTTTATTATTTAAAAACAAAATAATTTTATTGTGGTTTAATGGAAATAGAAATTCTTACAATACAATTGTTGTTGCTGGTTGTTCTTGTTGGTTGGTTTAATATTAATGTTACACAACATTTTTCAAATGTTAATTAATACCATATTTTAATATAATAATAATTTCATGTTTTTTTTTCATTTTTTAATTACTTCGAAAATTGTGGCCCCTAAGCATTAAAAAGACTTTTGTTTGTTTCTATTATTATTTTTCAAGTTCCCGCTGACGCTGTTGACTTTGCTATTGGATTTTTGAGTAGAGTTCAAAACCTGTTATATCAAATTCAAATAGGTGTTCCCGAACTTGCCACTCTAGCAAATTGCAGCTTTTAATAAATTATCATGGTTTTTTCTTTGTTTTACGTTTTTCCACATGTATAAAAATATTTATATATAATTTACTGTAAGTACTTTTGGTTTTCTCTTACACATTACATTAATGAGTTGTTATCTTGTGTTTGCCTTATTTTTTTATATATAAGTATATATATAAAATGCGCATACAGTTGGAATCTTAGTTAATAATAATAGTTAATGAGTTAATAACGTTCACATTCAATTACATCGTATTCGATTTAGTTACGATTATGATTACATTTTAATTTGCTTTTCTTTTTTTTGCTTGTTCTTGATGAATTCAAATTCAAAAATTTACAAAAAAAAAAACAGTTTGTTGTAATTGAAAATATAAAATATTCAAGTTAAATGCGTATTTGGTTTCGTTTTCTCAAGAAAATTGCTATTAGTTTATTACATTTAATTGTGCTTGATTTTTGGGAAAGATTGGTTGAGTGTTGAATGACTGATTGAATGCTTGAATGCTTGGGTGACTGACTGATTGAGTATCATGCAGGGTGTCTGAGGAGCTGAGCTGAGCTGATCCTGGCAGTAAGTTGAGTCAGTTACAAACTTGAACCAAATTGTAATTGTTCTGTACTGTGGTTAAATCTTTGTATGCATATTAGAAACAGTATATAGCATATAGTATGCATTTGGTGGGCGTGTATATATTTTTTTTATTTATTTTCCTTTTCATTTCAACGCAAAAAGTTAACAATTTCCTCGTTCGAAACAGCTGAGAATGGCCTGCCTGACAAAGTCTACTTGTAATATAGATTTTTATATATATTTATAGAATAAAAATGCCAACCCTCAATGATATACATTATTTGCTTGTCAGTCCATATTTTCCACTTTTTCTTGTCCTTTACTTAACATTTTTCATTTTTTTTTTGTTTTGTTTTAGTTTTTCTTTGTATTTCTTAAATGTAAAACAAAATTTGAGCGAAATATACGAGTTGTAACTGAATGTACAGTGTAAACAATTAACCATAAAGAAAACATATCATTTTAGCAGATAAAATGTTTTATTTTCATATCACTATATAAATAGTATATGAAAGCCATTTAAGCAACACCCTTTATACAGTATACTCTGTTTTTTATTTTTAAATTCAACTTGGCTTTAGCAGAGAAATTCAAATCGCGGGAGACATTAAAATCAATTAAATCGTTAGCTAAAACATAATATATATGTGTATATAAAGAAAACTTAATTATAACGACATTTAACATTAGATTGGTGTTCTTTTTCGGTTTCTTTTTCGTTTTTTTTTTTTAATATTAATTATTATAAAAATACATATATGTATGCATGATGACTAGATGATGATTCCATGATCGGCTTAGTTGCACTATATAGCTTTATAAATACTAAAATCTATATTGAATGCGTGATTATGAGTAAGATGAGCTAACATTTATGCATATTTCAATGATTTAGCAACGTTGATTCTTGTCTGTGTGTATGTTTTTTTTTTGGGTGCGCTGTTCGACCGTAGAGACTCATTTCCACTAATTGCAAATATATTAATATTTATATAATTTTTTGAGTCCCAAAATTGATTTAAAATAATTGCGTAACGTAAACTTGTCCATGCATTGCCATCGAAATGAATGCGATCCATTCATTAATTACATCTTCCTTTCTCCAATAACAAATTTAACATAACACAATTTAATGGGGAATGTTTGGTCATATTAAAAATATTTCTTTTTTTTTTTTTTTCAAATGAAATGTTGCTGTATTCTGTCTGCCAAGTAGCTCTTGTTGTTGTCAATGATGTTGCTGTGCAATTTGTGCAAAACTGTAAGAAATAAAATTAAAAATTGAATAAATCAAATAGTGTTTCTTACAAAATAAAGACAATTTATAATCAATTTGTAATTTTGCTTTTTTTGAAAAAGAAAAAATTTGAATCAAATAACTACAAGAAATATTATAAATAACTAATGATTTTATAAACTTCCTATTTAGTTATTGCATCTTACATTGCCCATTTGGTTCTCATTTAAAGTTAGATTAACTTTTGCCTTAATGTTTGACTTAAAAAATGTATTTTTTTTTGTTTTTGCTGTTTTTGTTGTATTTTTAGTGTTAATTTTCAATATGTTGCTTTTGCTTTAAAAATTACAAAAATGCTTGGGATATGAATGTGTTTTTTTTTTAGATTTTATTTTTGGTAATCTTCAATAGGAAGAATAAGCAGCTAACAACAAACAGTTAATATGCCTTATATTTTGTATATGCATTATAATTATTGATTATATTTACCGATGTATATAAATATTTTATTTTGCAGCTAGAAAAATTAGCGAAAATATTAATTTTCCATGTTCTTGTTGTTTGTCTTGCGCGTTTAGAGTTTTTAGTTCATTAAAGAGTGAAAAATCAGTTTTCAGCTTAAGTCAGTTTAATTTGAATTTCTCAGTTTAAACAAGTGCAGAGGGAGAGTAAAAGCGGAAACGGAAAAATCTGTTCAGAAAAATTCCCTAAACGAGTCTCATATTCATTTTATTTCACAAGATTCTTTTTATATATTTTTGTTTAGTTTCACGTTTACGTTTTCGAAGCAGTCTAAGATTTTGTTGTTTCTGAGTGTTAAAAAACTTTTGAGTTCACTACTAAGTGGTTGGATTTTTGCCTTTAAACACGCACATAAATATATTTTTATATACTCGTAGATATATAAGTATGTAGTGGTAAATAGCCTAATGTGTAAAATGTATTACAGATGGAGAGGTCCAGGACTTTATCCAGGGCTTCAACTTCAACTTGATTTATTTTTATATAGTAGCAACATTATAAATATAAATATTCATATATATGTATGTATATGTGTATAATTTGTTGTGTAAATCTTTTTTTCAATTCGTGTATAAAATCAGTCATAGTTAATTATTTTGTTTGGTATTTATCATTTATGTTAGTTGTGGTTTGGATTGCTACTTGAATGTTCGGTGAAGTTCGTAACCAAGCGGTAAAAATGTCTATATAACTTATTTATCGAATGAATTGATCTTGTTCCTCAATTTCTATTCTATTTAATCATAGAAATATCTTACTCCTAATGAGAAAATAGGGAAATCAAAAAGGGAATAAACCGATCATTTGACACTAATTCTATGTTGAGTTACATACAAATTACAGACATTCAAACAGACACTACTCAAGCATGCATATTAAACATATTTTGTTTCTCATATTTTCGTATTATTCTGTTAAAACCTTTGACGGACTACAAGAATTAAAAACCTACTTATTGAAAAGGCCCAGCTCCGAACGCAAAACCATTTCGAATCGGTTAGAAAGATCAACCCTGATCTGAGATCGTTTTACATTGGATGCTGGACGAAACATAGACACACACACTTATTGATTATTCAGTTAGCTGCATATATCTATATGTTATATCCATAATAATTTAGTGGTTCAAGCATTTTGTTCAGAGCTTTCTTTATGCATAATCTAATAATACTTAAAAACACTTCTACGAAGCCAGTTTGAATTTTAATTTACTTTTTGGATTTGGTTTTCATTCATTATAGTTCGCTGCTATTTTGCCTTTTCTCTATCCTTTTCGAATTCGAACTGCCGCCGATCTGATCTACTAGAACTTGTACAAAATTTAAATTCCATACAAATATGCTCAACAATGCCGACAAATGACTTTGATTTAAGTTTTTTTCCGTTCCTTAATAACATTTATCAAAAATATAAACTACAATTAAAATGATTTTTTTAGATATGACATACAAACACCAATATGCTCGTATTTATATATCCTAACCTCTAGTTCTGTTCTGTGTAACTTGTGCCTGACAGTCTCTTAACCAACCTAAAAAAGAGAGGGACCGATCCGTAGATGGATCGATCTCGATTCGATTTCGCTTCGATTCCTTTCAACATTCATAGAGAGCTCCTAACAATCACAAAAAATAATAGTAGCAATAATATGATTAATATATGTTTATGTGGTGTCTTTCGACACCAGCATGCATTGCCATTTATTAAACAACACTTACACTTAGCACTACTCAAAATGTCTTAATGGTTTTTGACTTCCTAAATGGTTTTCGCGACTGGTGGAGTTACTTTACTTTTGAATTTCCTTTCAGAATTTTCCTTACATTTTTTGGCGTCTTTTTTTTCTGGGTTACACGAGACTTTGCCCCAAAAAAATACTAATCACAAATGGCGACACACGCAAAATGCCCAACTACATATACTATATCGGCAATGTTAACATACATAAATCGGTTTATATATATAGAGCAAGATACCAAAGCAGGTGTCAAAGGGCCTTGACGCCTATGTTTGGTTATTTAGAGGGTTAGAGCACAGTTAATTGGCGGTATAAATCGTTTACATATCGATCTGGAATATCGGAAATAAAACTGCTAATATAGTTAGTTTTGATAGCTCACTGTGCTATAGTTACACAATTTATCTTATAGGTAAATATAAATATTATTTGTTTTTTTTTCGTTTTTCCTCTAGGGTTGTGT